TCACCCTCATATATGCCATTGAATGTTTGTGTCAAAATCTTCAATGCCATCTCTCCAAGACATTTCCAAACATACACTGGTATGTCATCAGGCCCTACTGCTTTCCTCATCTTCATTTTTTGAGAGCTTTTTAAACTTCACCCTCACTAATCTTCCCCACTTCCTAGTCCACAGTTTCTATGACCTCTACTCTTCTTTCTCTTTCATTCTCTTCATTCATTAGCTCCTCAAAATACTCTTTCCATCTTCCCATCAAACTATCCTCACTTGTTAGAACATTACCATTACCATTTTTAACAAGCCTAATCTGCTACACATCCTTTCCAGACTGATCCCTCTGTCTCACCAATCGGTACAAATCCTCATCACCCTCTTTAGTGTCCAGCCTCCCATACAACTCTTCATATGCCTTCTGCTTTGCCTTAGCTACCTCTCTCTCTGCCTTACATCCCATCTCCTTAAATTTATGTCTCCTCTCTTCAGTCCTTTCACTGTCATATTTCTTCTTGGCTAACCTCTTTCTTTAAATAGCTTCCTGCACTTCACTATTCTACCACCAGGTTTTCTTATCATCCATTCTCTGTCCAGATGGTACACCAAGTACCTTCCTACCTGTCTAATTACTGTTGCTGTAGTAGTCCAGTCATTTGGAAGCTCTTTCTTACCACCCAGAGCCTTTAACTGCTCCTCTTTGAATTTCTCACAACATTCTTCTTTTCTCAGCTTCTACCATTTGGTCTTCTTTCCTCTTATGCATATACTCTACTGTTGGTATCTAATTAGACAGAAAATTGTTATCTTTCTTGTCTTTTGTGAACTTGCCTTTCTCATTACACACAAGGATGTTATTTTTTGGTGACTGTGATATTTTGTAGCTTCAGTTTACATATCATTTGTTTGTTTTCTTTCATTCAGAGGAACTCCTTTTCATTAACAGCTTGTTTGTCTTCTCACTGCCCTCCCCTCTCTGCCTTTTTCTCACCAGGTGCGATGGACAAAGACAGCAGGCAGTGCTTCAGACAAGTTCCAGGAAACATCCATCTACAACGAGACATTGCGCATCGAGGGCATCCAGAGAGTGCAAGGGGGTCGCTACTACTGCAAGGCTGACAACGGGGTGGGGGTGGCTGCCATCAAGTCCATCCGTGTAGATGTGCAGTGTAAGTAGGGAGGGAGAGACTTGGAAAATAAAAAATAAAAGCTCCTTCCACTTTTAGACCACAGCGGACTTTCACTACAGCCATTCCCACAGTTAGAGAAGACCAAGATGGGGGGAGATGGAATGATTGCAAGAGGAAAGATGAAAGACTGATTGAACAGATGATGTGATTTCAGGTGGGAATGGTTTCCAAGAGTATCTGATGAGTTATGGTGGACAGGATGAAAAATATGTTGGAAGGCTTAAGAGGAGGGAGGGTGGATCATACTAAACTATATTTTAGAAGTGTACATAAAAAGTGCAACTATTTCTTTTTCATGAAAACCCCTCCACCTTTGACATAAACCAATGTTTTTTCTCTACTAATGAGGGTCATAAGTAGAAAGGCTTTGTCAGATACTCTTGGAAAAAAGTGAAGCCTGTGGGATTTATTGAGTTTGATAACAGTTAGTCCAGGCAGTACGGGCTCCCTACCTCAGTGTTTCTTAACCAATCAGTCTCGTAATTTACTCTAAAGAAGATGATGAGATGCAAAAAGCATGTTTATGTTTATTAAACATGATTAAAGAGTTCTCTAATCAAGCCACAGTGACACTCTCAGCCACGCTTAAAATGTAAAACACCAATTGGTTTGTACTGCAATTACCAGATTAACTTGCCCTTTCAAGCCATCTTTGAGCAACCTCTATGGTCTGGGACACTACAGCTGTCCTGCTTATAAAACAAAATGGTACGAGGTACTATTAAGCGGCCCTTTTATGTTGGACAGGGACCAGTGATTTTTCCAGAAAACCATTCCACACTGAAGACTTTAAGCCTGCAACAATGTCAGCAGGTAATGCTTTAAAGTTACTCAGATGCTTTCAGAGTCACCTGCAATCAAATCAGGAGTAGCCTGCAGAAACCAAGCAGATGATGAAAGACATGATGTGAAAGGCTAGTAAAGTGTCTTTCCTTTCTGCCAAAAGTGTAAAGACGGACAGAATGCTATCATTTAATACAATTGTGCTAGTTATATTAGGCTCAGACACTAAAAGCAACTATTCTGATTGATATCTGTTCAGTAAATCAGACTATTATGAGAGGAAGCATTGTGTTGTATGGGTCCCGTGCTGCTGCTTGTTTCACTGCCCCACTGTCCCTGTGAGTCAGGGGCCAGGTCATGGTCAAAGGTATATACCCATATAAACCACATACTATCAATACTTCAGTATGCTTTTATTTAAAACCCCCACACACCTTTACTGTCTGCTTCAGGAGTACACAGCTCTCTACTGATTTAATCATGCTAATGGTAGATTTATAGACTAAAGGGAGAAAACCTGATTCACAAAGGACCCTGTAACGTTTAACATCAATTACTTCATTTTTGCTATTAAACTGATTTTTTTGGCTTTGTGTATGGTGCAGCCAAATGGTCTGCTGACTTTGGGAACTATTTCACCTATGTATTACAGGAATACAAGAAAACACACACCTTTACAGAGAATTGTGCTTGTCCCTTTGAGATTCATCGCTTGGCTATCCTGCCTCAGCCTCTTAATAAGGCTCTCCCTCCTTTTTTCATCTACTTCTTTCTGCTGATAGTGTTGGTTTTCCCCAGGCATTAGTTGGGCCCCTGCTGAGGAGTTAGTAATAGCAGGGGGCCTGGATAGTAAACAGGTTGCATTACAAGTGTAGTTGTGACAGGAGGTCTGTGAAGCTAACCAGTTCTGATGGCCAGTGCTTGTTCAATTCCCTTTCCCACATGCTGCGTTGAA